AAAGTTTTATAGTGCTTATGGGTTATGTGGATTAGACAAGAGCAAGAATCACCTGGAGGCAGTGTGATCCTGTGCCTACCAGTTGATGTTGACTGTTCACTAAGGATGACCCAGAACACCTCCATAAGACCACTCTTCACACTATGATATACAAACAGGCTTGTAAACACTTGCTTATCCCAAGGAGGCCATACTCATAAAAGTCACCTTTACTATGACAGCCTCAGAATTAACATATCATTACTTTGTCACTGTGGTAAGCCTGACCAGTCTGAAGGGCAGGATCATGGATCCTACCATTTAGTGGGATGGATGCTAAAAACCACACTGTAGGGAAAAGAACATAGGTAGAAGATACTGTTGAGATCATTTATTTCAAAATTTCAGTCTACTACTGGTTTCTATGAGACTGTAGTGGCTCCCACAAACCAGCTCTTGTCTTTGTTGGTTTCTCCTCATATTGGTCTGTGGTAAGCCAAATCTCCATCTGCTCAAATTTAACCCATGAAAATGCAAGCTGCTAACATTTCCTATTTATTATAAATACCTACATGAGATAGATATTCTTCATGTAAATCAGGTCATCTGGGTTGTCATTTTTCATCACTCTTTGTTGACCTCATAGAAAACTCTGATTTCAATGGTGTTGAGGGCTTTCTTGTTACCATGTATATTCACATGGAAAGACAGAACTGGAAGCAGGAGTTTTTCCATGAATTAGTTAATTTCAATGTTTTAAATGTTCATTTCTACTAGTTGTTTTAATTAATAGTTTTATTCCCTTGCTTTCTCTTTATGATGTTATATCATTATTTATTATACAGTGCCCATCTGACTGCTACACATTTATGTGTATACAGATACATATATATGCTACATATATGTATACACATGTATATATTTGTGCTTAAACACCCACTTGGCTTTTTTGGCTCAAGGCTGTCCCTCTACCACTTGAGCCACACCTCCACTTTTAGCTTTTTAGTGGTTAAGATAAATGTCTTACAGACTTTTCTGCCCCAGCTGGCTTTGAATCTGGATCTTCAGATCTCAACCTCCTTAGTAGCTACGGTTATAGCCATGAACCAAGGAGTCTGGCATGCGTTACTGTATTTATAAAATTCTTGGGGCTTGAGAAGTACAAGTTGTCATGTCCAAAACGAGCTTTACAACGTCGGTGCGG